CTGGAAGGGGAATGTGCAGAGGGCATGGTGTGGATGTGTCTCTCTTGCAGGGCTCCTGTGTCTTTCTCGATTGTAATGAGTGTGAGGCCAGAGCAGGTGAGGCAACCACAGTGTGGGAAGAGTCTCTCTTGTAGTGCACACAAGACCTAAAGTGCAGGGGCGGGGAGGGGAGAGAGCGTTTGGGAGGCCGTGTTTCTGAGAGGTTTCTTTTCTGAGTTGGGAAGAGCACAGTGGGGGGACCGGAATATTTTGAGGTCATTTGTTGCACTCTGAGAATGGTTTGAGCAGGTGCCAAGTGGGTGTGGGGAGGAAGGGTGCAGCAAGAGGGTGCTTTGTGCCTGCTACCTCTGGATTGACGCTGCACCCATAAGAAGAACAAATTGAGGCCGCACAAGACCTAGTCATGAGGCTTCCCGCTCCTACCCGTACTTTTCCTGTCTTCTGCTGAGATGCTCTGCTTTTTCCAGCTTTCCTTGCATCTTCCTTTCTAACCCTGTCCCCACCCCGCTTGTCTCCCTACAGACGGCACTCCCCTGAGTGAGCTCTCCTGGTCCTCCTCTCTGGTGGTTGTGGCTGTTTCCTTCTCTGGGCTCTTCACCTTCATCCTCCTCATGTTGGCCTGTCTGTGCTGCAAGAAGGGGGGCATTGGCTTCAAGGTAAGCACCAGAGGCACCTACATGCCTTGGGGTGGCTGTGTTGGAACAGGACTGGTGATCAGTAGGTGGGGAATGCCCCACCTTTGGAGTCTGTGCTGTGGCAGGAGGAGGAGGAAGCAGCAGCACTCAGCAGAGGGTGCTTCTGCTTCTTAATCTGGGCCAGGACCGTGAAGTTACTGGTAGCCTTCTAGGATAGCACTGGTAGGAGGCAAGGAAGCGGCTTGGGATCCCCGTTGTATCCATTTCTGCTGCTGAAGGAAAGCAGGGGATGAAGGAAGGGAATGTGTGAGTCTGTGTGTGTGTGAAAAAGAGAGTTCAGTGGGCTGAAGACAAAATGTGGGCAAGGTAGATATCAGCAAAGCCTAGAGGCAGCGAAGCACTGAGAAGCACAGCTCAGAACAGCAAGGGTGGTTGTGGAACAGGGGCAGGCTCAGAGGAGCCCCCACAAGCCCAGAGGAAGAGCCAGGAAGTGTGAGAACATGGGGAGCTCTCTTATGTCTGGACAGACTGTTGTCACTCTTGGACGGACGGACTGGCAGGCAGCCATTTTTCATCTTTCCCATTACCAGCTACCAAGGCCTTTTAGCCAGTGGCTGAACCTGGGACCTGCTTGATAGATCATGTGTGCTCTGGTTCCTCCACCTCCCATCCCAGAGAGGCTGTTGGACAAAGAAGCAGGAGGTTTGGAGAGGAGAGGAGGGGAGGGGAGGGAAGGGATGCCTTTTCACTGTTTTTTTGGGTAATTGAACCAAGATTTAGGCCTGACCATGTATGTTATGGAAAACACAGCAGGTTGAGGTATTCTCCTGATCACATGCTCATTGTGCTGCTCAAGGTCTCCCGGGCAGCTCTAGCAGGAGGAACTAGTTAAGAGGAGTGAGAACAGCTTCACCCGACTTGGTGCTCTCTGGATGTGCTGGGCTGCAGCCTTCTTCATTCACGGATTGCATTACAAGTGCAGGAGGGAGGACAAAGCATGGTTTCCTTCCTGGCAAGCACCATGTTGTGCTAGGAGGTGGAGGTGGGAGCCTAGGAGGGACTATTGGGGAGGCCCAGCGCAGAAAGGGTGAGACGTTGGGATCAGCAGTTGCATTTGAAATATTCAGGGTGAAAGTGCATTTCCAAGTAGTTCAGGGGCAGTGGAACCACTTTTATCAAGCGATGAACCCTAAAGGGTTTCCACATAGAATCTTGCCTGTGTGCCAAGTGCACCTTTTTCAGGTGAGGGCTCAAACAGCAAGGCGCTTTCCTCTCACTTGGTGGTGCAAGCTCCGTTGACCTCACATGGAGCTAGAAGGAGCTGTATACTGTGTGCTTTCCACTGGCAAGAAGAGGGAGCATTGCCCCTGGCTGCCAAGGAGATGTGAGCCACAAAACTGCTGTGTGGTCGGTCAGGAGCAACGCTCTGTCCCGTCCTACCAGAGTTCACCGTTCGCAGGGCATGGGGGTGCCTCTCACTTTCTTTCCAAGCCAGCAGGGATCTTCCCTTCCACCCAGGCTTGCCTTGGCTGCAGTCTGCCCTGGAATGGCGCATGAGGGAGTGGGCAGCAGTGTGACCTGACGGGCACAGAATGTGCTGGAGAAATGTGTTCCTGCATTGCTGAGATTCTTGTGGAGGCTCCTGGTGGCCAAGACAGGGAGTAGGTGGGGTGCTGAAATTGGACTTATAGACAGTCCCGTGGGTTAATGGCTTGCAGCTCTAGCTAGCTTTGCTGTGGGAACAATGAAACGCTTCAGACCCTCCCTCCCACCCACGCTCCCTATATAGGGGCCTGGATAAGGATGGTGGGCAGCCTTTATGCTTTCCTGGTGGAAATGCCGCTGTGGCAGCAGTGCAAGAGCATCATGGTGCAGGATGCATGAAGGTGATGCTCACCCTTTCCTACCTTATAGCAGGGGCGGCAGCCTTCGGTGGTGGGAAAACTCTCGTCCAGGTAACTGGAAATGCTCGCTGGCCTTGGGCTTGCGTCTGCAGGGAATGGATTTTGGGGGAAGACATGCTGCAGCTTTAGGTGGGGATGGATGGATGGATGGATGGATGGATGGGAAAGCTTCTTGTGGGATACCTCTAACTTGGTGGGCAGTAGCTGGGGGAGAGAGCAGTTCCAGGTGGTGCATTTATTAACACTCTTTCTCTGGGCACTCTTGCCTAGAGCTGGAGAAGCGAATCCCGGGAGAAGAGGCTGAGGATGGTTTTGAGGTGTCTGCCCTGCACGGGGGCCAGCACAGTGCCCAAAACAACCTGTAATGTAGAACTGGGGAACCCTGGGCAGCCCTCCCCCTGCCCCTTGACCAAGGTGAGGCTGCTTCTCCCTCGATGTGTATGACTGTGTCGCTCACGCACTGGGGGGCAGGGTGAAGGGGGCAGAGCATCCACCGCTGACTGCGCAAGCGAACACGCAGGGCACCCACTGGGCTGGTGGAGTCTGGCGGGCAGGCAGGGCCGTGGGTGGCTGCTCCCTCTGCACCACCTCCTGGTGCTCGCCTGCTTCCCCATGCAGAGGGAGGCTGGTTAATAGGCCTGGAAGCAGCGGCTCTGGCCATTGTGTGGCCCTGTGTTTTTCACATGAGGATAAGCTACTGCAGTGAACCCATGGAGAGCATGGGCAGGTAATGCTTTGTCTGTTTTGCTTCTGTCCTGATTTTTCGAAGCTTTCTTGCCATTTTTTTTTTTTTTGGAAAGAAATTGAAAATTGGCTATTATTGAATAATCCAGGAGCTGTTGCCCTTGGCCCTGAGGGCTTCCTCCTGCAACTTTGCCTCTGAATCTTCCACATACCGTTGTGTGTGTGGAAAGAAAAAAGAGAGTTTGAGTGAGTGCATGGCTGTCTCTGTTCCCCCCCCACCCCGTTTCAGTGGAGTGTGTTTGTTTCTCGATGGGAATGAATGAGTGACTTCACGTTTCAAAGGTGCTGTTCACATGTGTATTCTTGGCTGCACAGGTGACTGCTTGAAATCAAATTGAGGGGGGCGCATTCCCATGCAGCAGGTTGCTGGAGTGAACTGGCTCTCCACGCAGCTCTTCTCTTCCTCCACAGTGAAGGCTTGCAATGGTTGAAGTTGCCCGAACTATGTGGAGATCTGCTCCGTGCCAGTAGCCTGCTGACTCAGGACATGGTGTGTTCTGTCCTTTGGTTTCATGCAGCTGTATTCGTACAGCAGGGCTGAATCAGGCCTGTGACAAAGAGTTGCAAAGTTAGGCATTTACAGCTGCACTCACTTCCCCATCAGTCTGTTACGGGCATGTTGAAAGCACACGTACTTGAACCAGTTCGTCTCCCCAGGAAATCCCAGGGATCGTGGTTGTGGGGGTGGAATGGCTGCTGCCATGGAGTTCTAACCAAGAATTCGCAGCAGCTCGTCACAAACATGGTTTCTGGGAGTCTTCGGAGGGAAGGTGTGGCAGACAGCTGAAGTGAAGTGGTATAACACCAATACAGGCACCTAGTGTAGCTCAGCCATATATGTGAAGAAGCTGAGAATCTATTCCCCCAAGAGTGTGTGACACATGTATGTATTTGCGTGTATTCTCCCTTACTGTTCATAAGGGGAACAGTACCTGCACTTCCCCACCTGCGTGGCTTATTTAGGCCACTCCTGTAAAGCATGCAGCAGAGTGAAAAGGTGCCTGCCCGCAAAGGCTGTACTGAGGAACATAAGAAGCTTCTTTTGAGCACCAACCCAGCCATTGAGCCATCTTGCTCAGTATCGCCTACAGCCTACAGGGGTTGGTAACTGGGTGGTCACTGGGTGTCCCCAGGTGTTTTGTTCTGTAACTCCCCCAAGTTTCAGCCAGCGTGGCCAGTGCCCAGGAGTTGCGGCCAGGAGTTGCAGTTTGGATAACAACATCCAGAGCATCTGGAGGGCACCAGGGATCTTGTCTGCAGCGCTCCACTGTTTCAGTCATTTCTGGCCCTCCCTGGAGACCCTGGGGATAGAACATGAGGACTGTTTGCATTCACAGCATGCTCCCCACTGCATTGGGCCTCCCTTATGCATGAACTGTCTGTGTGTCTGTGCTTCCTCATCTGTGTGTGAGGTGACAAGGACGAGAGCTGCAATTGATTCTCTGGATGATGCTTCAGAGTTTGAAGCAGTTCACCTATCCTGTTTGAGTAGGATTGCTTGTGTGGAGAGAGGGCAACTGTGCGTGTTCATGCTTTTCTTCGCCATGTGTATAAAACTGCTTTCCTGCCTCATGCTGGGCTCTTTTCCCCCCTACCTATCTTGCCCTTCCCCCAGGAATTTGATAATGCCGAAGGAGAAGAGTATGCTAGTGAATTCTCAGCCCAGGGCTCCCCAGCCACACAGAATGGCCCTGAAGTTTACATACTGCCTCTCACAGAAGTCTCCTTGCCCATGTCCAGGCAACCTGGGCGCTCAGGTAAGCCGTTGAAGCTGCTATATTTAGGATTTTGACCTCCCTATAAGCATTAGCAATGGTGACTTTCACATTCACTGCATACACAAAAGCACAACTGTGCTGTCTGATTGATTCACAAGGTTCTGTGTGCTCAATAATGAGCAAGGAATTAAGAGTCTTTCACTCAGGTGAGGCAAAAGGTCCTGTGAGTGTGTTGTGTGTTGGTGCAATTCAGTGTAAGTCTGCTATTGTGCTAAGAGCAACTTGTGCTTGCTAAAAAGCAGAGTCCTAACACATGCCAGACGAACCTTTGTTATGGCATATGTTTTGTAGAATATAAGCTGCTTGATCAGATGCTTATTCCAAAGTAGTTTTTCAGGTGACACAGTACTCTGTTTTTACTTCAGCAGGCTAACAGGACACCCCTTTGGAAGTTCTTATCTTTTATTTAGTAATCTTACACATGAGTTCCTTCCTGGAGAAAGATGGCGCCGGTGCAGAGAGAAAGGCATGGTAGTAGTATCTGATACTAATACTAGCCTCATACATGGTACTTTGTAAAGCAACTTGAACAAAATTATTTTAGGGCCAATACAGACTAGGCAAGGTAAAGCTAATAATAGAAACATAGAAACAGAGTGAGTCAGAAGGGGCCTCCTGGACCATCTAGTCTGACCTCTGGCATCAGCCGGTTCCACTCACAACATGTTCACCATGTGCACGTCCAGCCTATCCTTGAACCCCCACACCAATGGGGCCTCAACGACCTCTCGGGGAAGCCCATTCCACACCCTCGGGGTCCTGACTGTCAGGAAATAAAAATATGGACAAAGGGACTTATACATTACTCAGGCTTAGTACTAACAGGTGATCACATTAGTCTGTACTGAACAGTAATAAATGCAAAATAAGAAGTACTGCCTTCTAAAGGTTTCTTTGCATATGCTGCATTCTTCAGAGGCCTTTGGCCATCTGAGGGGTGAAGGGTGGTGACAAGACATAGGGCCTTTTTTGTGGTGTCCTCCTCAGTTTGTGGAATGCACTTCTGGTTGGTATTGGGTAAGCACTGCCATCTAGTTCACACATAACAACTCATCCAGTAGCCACTTCTGCTTTGCATCCTGTTTAGAAAACAACACAGAAATGTGCACCATTCCTCAACATGAGGTGGGAATCCAAAACTCTACCTTGTTGAGGGGAAAATAGACCAGTTTTAACCCATCAACGAATCTCTGATTAAAACTCTAGATTGCGTCCCCCTCAAAACACACCACAATAGGGTGTTCCTGGGTTGTTTTGGAAACTAAATTGAAAGTGGATGCAGTGAGTGGACAAGAGACCGTGCACTTGCTTGCATCGGTGTGCAACTCCTGAGTTGAAACAAGCCATTATGAGAGCCTTGGCTACCTTTGCATATCTTTAGACACCTGGTTATTTAAGAAAGGGGATTTGGTTGGGAAACATGTGTGGGGTTATGGCAGTGCTGTTCCTGTTAATCTTCTGTGGACAGTGTGATCCCCTGTTAGTCTTTATCTTGTTTTTGGCCTTACGGCCTTGTAGAATTTTTGCTTGCTGGAATGTTAGTTCCCTGTGTGAATTGTATTTCATTATAATGCTGATTTAATTAATATTTTGTCTTTGCATTTATGTTGTTTGATATATTGTAAGTCACCTTGCTTCCTTTCTTTTTTTTTGAAAGTTGGGATATAAGGTGTTAAGAATAAATCAATGAAAATAAAATCCATTTTCATTAACACAGAGATAGGCAAACCCTGGAGTTAGTCCCCTTATACTATCTAAATGCCAAAGTGTGCTCTGTCAAGGATGCTTGATACTTTCATCAGGCAATACAATCCTGTATGAGCTGTTTTGTAATCCATGTGCCCCAGCCCCACTCTTTTTTCTGGATTCAGTGCAACTACAGTCTCTGAGCAAATGGTCTGAAAGCAACCAAAACATGGTGGTAATGCACTCACGGTGCTACCGATCCACAGATCGCCATGGTAAACACAACTGTGGGGACTCTCCAAATGCCGCCTCCTCCTCCGGAATACCCTCATGTGTAGGCAGGCTGCCTGTGTCTTTGGTGCTCAGTCCTCTGTCATGAATTGCAAAGCCTGGAGCCCCCCCGCCCCCCAGTCCAGTGGATAGCGTTGTCCTTGTGGCCTGCAGCCCACTTGCAGCTGTTTCGGGGACACTGTATCTCTGGGATCAAATCTTTCTTTCAAACAGGGGCTTTGGTTCCTGCTGTCGCCCACATCTGTCCTGTGAAGGGGATGTTTTTTGCCTTTGGTGGCGGTGGCAGCAGCTGCGGTAAAGGAGGGAGCAGAGGGTTGCTGTATTTTTGTCAACTCGCATGGAGCATCTGCTGTTGTGCTTCAGTCATGGCTCTTCTCAGCTGATGTTTGTCACAGGCTTTCTCAGTTCTGAGGCCCTGTTAGCAGCGGGTGCCTGGCACAATGGCAACTACAGTAAAGGGTCGGGAGGCCAGCACCTTCTCCCCTGCCATCTACTCCAAGGGCTTGTGAGTGCCCCCAGGGGGAGAAGCTCCAGATTCGGCTCTGGAAAGTTTTGGTGCAGAGGTGCCAGATGCATTTGTAAGAGGAAAGGCGATGGTAGTTGACTTCCTTCAGGCTCTGCTAGGTGCCTGGGCGACAGAACTGGGTGCTGTTCCTCAGTCCCCCTCTAATTAGTATCTTCCAGATGGTTCTGGTTCCTCGGAGGGGCACCCTAGCCTGTGCCTCAGCAGCACCATCTTGTGGGCTCAGAGTGGCAGGGCATCTCTGCTTAGGGGCACAGGGGGTGTTGCAGGGGACTTTCCTTTGGTAGGGTACCTGGGAGGCACGGGGCATCCAGGCTGCCTCCATGGTCAGGCGAGGCAAAGCAGGAGGCTTCAGTGAGTTAGAGAAGCTCCCGACCTTCCCCTCTGCAGGCATGGCCCCCTGCCCCTGGCCTGAGCATTCCCTCTCCCCCGCTGTGCCAGAGACAAAGGCTTATTGGTCCTGGCTCCCACAGACCCTGCATTCCTTCTCCTAGGAATCCAGAGATTGCTCCGCAGGGTAGGACGGCAAGGGGTCAAGCCAGCTAGCCATGTGGTCGCTCCCTTCTGCTCTGCCCACACTGTTTTGCCTGGCGCAGCCCTGTGTGATCTCTGAAGGAGCACACAGAGAATGGGATCGCTGTCCAGCTGCAGCCACCAGGGCCGAGGACAACAATGGGGCCTTTGCTTCTCCGTGTGACGGGAACAGTGGCGTCTGGCACTGAGGGGGGCGAGGGGATGGCACTGCCTGCTTTTGGGGGCATGGGACTGCCCAGTTGAGTGTACACTGCACAGCCATTTTCTGCTGCCTGCCGCAGGGCTTGGAAGCACGGCCGGCTGTTGTGGAGAACGCCCTGTGTGCGCATGGGTGGGGGAGTCCCACCCACCTCTGTGCCTGGCTCGAGCCTGTTCGTGGGGTAGAGATGCAGCAAACTGCAGTGGCCTGGCCTCAGGAGCTGGGCTGGCTGCTTCTCTCCGTGGATTCCTGCATGTCTGAATCTGCCGGCAGCCTCCTGCCCAGGCCGCCTCTTCTGTAGAAATTGAGAATGAAAGAGCAGGTTGAGTTCCAGCTAGCAGGGCAGTGGACTTGTCAGAAAGGGCATGCCGAAGCTCAGCCTGCTCTATATGCTCCTTCACAGTGCAGCTACTCAAATCCACTGACCTCGGGCGCCACAGCCTGCTGTACCTCAAGGAAATTGGCCATGGATGGTTTGGCAAGGTAAGTGCCTGCCCCGGGGCTGATCGCAAAGAACTGATTTACAAGGCACAGAAACGTGGTGGTGGTGGTGGTGTTGGGGGAGCAGGCGCCAAACTCCGTGTGGAGGAAGACTAGTGGAGTGGAGATAGCGGTGGGGCCTGGCACCTGTGCACTGTGCATTCTCCCTGCCCTCTATAGCATTGCCTTTTGACTGTTTCTAAGAAGGGAATGGGATTGGAACCACATGGTCTAGCCTGCAGGCTGCAAAAGGAGATTCCAGCTCTGACTGTAAGACACAAGTGAGGGGCTTAGTGGAAATGGCAAGGAGATGTCTGTGCTGATCCAAGCGAAAGGGGCTTCCTGGGACTGGAGAGGCAGAGGGGTGGGAAGGACACAAAGACCATACTGAGGTGTGGGTTGTTTGCATATATATCTATTTAACTATATTGCCTACCATCTGAGAGGAGGCTAAACAAAAGTGGTACCACCACTCTCCTGCCTCTGAAAGCCGACAAAAGAGCAGGCATTGCAGTGCCCCAAGTGAGCACCAGTGATATAATGACTGGAAGCTGGTGTGGCCAAGCGTGCTTCCTTGTGGAGGTAGAATGTAGGGCAAGAAGACTTCTTTTTAATGGCTCATTTTAATCTTATATAAGCTGCCTTGAGAGGCAGAAGACAGAATATGTCTGAATATAAATTAAGTCAGTTGTAGTATGATGTGCAAATTCAGCCCAGGCACAAACATAGATGTAGTCCTGAGCTGTAGAGGCAGTTTCATAACTCAGTCTGAGTCACTTTTGTCACTCAGGGGAGTTGTCCTTTTGCATAAGCACATGAGATTTGCAACGTGACCACTAACGGAGCAGCAGCAATCACAGGTTTGCAAACTACTGGGCAATGCACTGACGTAGTCAAGCACGTGGATAACATCCATGCACAGAAAAGCATCCCAAAGAATCTTGTGTTATCCTGGGTGGAGTACATGAGGGCTGGGGGAGGAAGGTAGCTTGCTCTTTATGTTGAACCAACAGTTTTGGCTGGGGCTGCAGGCCTGATGCTGAGAGAGAATGACTCATGCAAGGCCGCCGTTCTCCGGCAGAGGTTGAAGAACCCAGTCCCATAGCCTGTACAGCTTTCTCTTCCATTCTAGGTGTTTCTCGGTGAGGTGAATGCAGGGCTGAGCAGCACTCAGGTGGTAGTGAAGGAGCTCAAGGCCAGTGCCAGTGTGCAGGATCAGATGCAGTTCCTGGAAGAGGCCCAGCCATACAGGTAGGTTCGGTCCCGCAAGCCTTTTGGTGGTAGGATGCACCCAGTGCTGTCAGCCAGAGAACCCTTGGGGCTGTGGACACATCCCGTTGCCCCATTCTGCACGAGTAGGATTACGAATGTATTCCGCAAGTAGGAAAGCCATTTCTGCCAGGGCTGTATCGTCAGCCTGTCATGCAGAGCTGCACCTGCCGCTAGGCAGAATGAAGTGGTCACTTCAGGCAGCGTAGTGCACTAGTTAATTGTTTAAACTTTCATTTTGCTTTTTTGCTGCTGGGGTGGGAAAGGGGGCTTATGGGACTTTCTGCCTTATGTATCAAACTATCTGTGCTGTCAGACTTGGCTTGGGTGAAATGGGGTTGAAATTTGCTGCTTTGCCTCGGGCAGCAGGGTGTTTTGGGCTGGTCCTGCTTTCCTTGTGGCCCTTTGCAAATCCATCCAGAACATACTCAGCAGAGGGCACAGAATGTTCCATATTGTCAAGGTTCTGTATCATCATGGACAAGCACAGGTTGGCAATGAGCGATTCCCTGGACCAGAGCTTACTGAGTGCCACTTCAGAACTGTCTGGGATTGGCTGCACAGCATTGGCAAAGCAACAGAGGACAGAACAATCACAGCATGGTCTGTGTCCCATTGTTCAGGGCTCCTTGTCTTCCTCAGAGCTGGGGTAGGAAAGATGATTTGAAAGATAAGTGTTGCTTTTCCACTGTATGTGCCCACAGCACCACCAAAATTACCCACAAGTACTGGCAGCAGAAATTGTTAAGGTGTTTGAAATGACAAACCTGTTAAAATAGGCTGTCCTCACTTCCAGTCAAAAGGGGAGCTTGGTGGCTCTCAGTGCAGAGAGTTCCCCATCACCTGAGCATTTGCTCTGGGTACTAAGAATTTGTAATATGTACTTGGCATGATGCAGGACTGACATCTAAACCCTTGCTTCTCTTTCCCCCAAACTTAAAGTATTCCTGTGCCTGTTTATTTGGAATAACTGGTTTTGTAGGCGTGATCTCCAGTATGTATTAGGTCCCCAACTTGAGAGAGACTGGGAAGAAACTTAGAGTCTGTAACCCTTAAGGGATGGCTAGTCTGTATTAAGTGATCTATGGCCTATGTGCATGGGCCAAGAGGAAGTCAAGGGGCTGCAGTTTGGAATCAAGGGCCTTTGACAGAGGCGTGGGAGGGGAGGGACGGTGCTGGGAAGGCAATGAATTACTCTACTCTACTGACTCATGAACAAACAACACCCCTATTGTTCAAAACCATGCTGGGGTAGCTGGCACAGCTTAGGACCCATTTATTCATTGCCCGTACAGGGTTGTGTCATAGGAGCTCCCCTGCCCTGCCCCCCCCCCCCCCGTCCCCATGTGAACCTACCTATTGTGTGAATTGTTTGAAAAGGGAAAGGACGCCCTGCAACAGAGCTTTTTCTCCACTGACCTGATGGGGCATCACCTGTCAGCCAGCCCATTGCCTCCTCCTGGCTGTCCTGGGTTTCCCTTAGCAGGGGCCCCTCCCTTTGCTCCCGGAACGCTTAGGGTTCCCTTCCCCACATTGCTGATGCACCTCCATCCACCCTGGAATTTCCACTAGCTCTGCAGGTTTTCTTTAGCTGTCCCGTACATATCCCACCTGGGGATCCTTTTCCTTCCTTGTTTCCTTCCAGCCCTGTTTACTGCTCTCTCTGTCCTCCTCCCTCCATGTTGCTCTGCAGGGCACTCCAGCACACCAATCTCCTGCAGTGCTTGGCCCAGTGTGCAGAAGTGACACCCTACCTGCTGGTGATGGAGTTCTGCCCACTGGTGAGTCATAACAGATGGAAATCACACGGCTCCCTGTCCTCCAACTCTGCGGCAACACCTGGCCCCTCCTGATCTTTGGGGCAAGTATGTGCCAGGAGCCAAATCTTGCAGGAAGGCTCATGCTCTATCTCCTAGCATGCTGGGTCATCAGAAGCCCATTTTCTCAGCAGGCCCCTTCCCAGGACAGAGTACCTGCTCTCTCTGCAATTTGCCCAGGTGTGTCTGTCGTGGGGTGGGTGGGTGAGTGGGTGTCTCTGGGCAAAGAGGCCCAAGCGCTTCCAACTGCTGCGGTGCAGATCGATCAATCCCTAGTTGTGTCCCCTGGCCTGGAGCTGGGCGTCCGCCCCTTGATCGCACTGCAGGGATGCTTTCTTTCCCTTGTTCTTCCCCAACCTGCCCCTGGAGACCTTACAAGAGAGGTGCACAGGCAGTGGCAGCCGTGGGTAATGCTGCTGCCCCCCTGCAGGGTGATCTGAAGGGCTACCTGCGGAGCTGCCATGCGGCTGAGGCACTAGCACCGGACCCGCTGACGTTGCAGCGCATGGCCTGTGAGGTGTCCTGCGGCCTGCTGCACCTTCACCGCAACAACTATGTGCACAGGTGAGTGAGTCTTCCTGGCGCCTTCCGCTAGGCGTGTGACAGGATGCTGGGCGTGGGCGCCATGCTGTCTTTGAGCAGGCAGAGGACTCTTGCGGTACTGATCTGAGGCACTGAGCCAGAGGATGGGGGTGGGGCAGAAGGGGGGCTCTGCATCAAGAGGTAGCCCTTAAAGCCAGCTAGCCCACAATCCTCCACCCAAGCTGGAAGCTGCTCCGCAGGGTTTCCGGCAGGGGCCTTTCTCAGCCCTGTGTGGAGATGCGGGACTGAGCCTGGGCCCTCTGGCAGGCAAAGCAGGGCCTGCACCCTGGAGTAGCGCTTCCTGTCCGTAGGGAAGTGTTAGTGTTGTCACGCTGATCAGAGATGGAGTGTGGAGAACAGGCGACCCAGGTGCTGGAAGGAATAATAGTCTGCTGATACTTTTATAAGCCAGAGGGCAACATCTGACACTGTGGCTGCACTTTTGCTCATTCTTTTAGACTGGTGGCACCTACTGCTTGTGCAACAGAAAGCCAGCGGTTTGGAAAGCAACCCTGGAAACAAGCGCAAATGCTTGTTTCCGGCTCAGGACCTGTCAGTGGACCTTCCTTCTGTGAGCACCACTGACTGGTCCCATTTCACAAATGAGCATTTCTCTTATTTTCTGTCTGCTTTTTGAAGGGCTGGCTCCCCATTGCACTAACGGGAGCGTGCCAGCACACAGGCAGGCATGCACTCTGCCAGGCTTTTCTCAAGGATCTGTGAGGCTAAACGAGCGCGAATCTGAGGAGCGGGAAACACTGGGTTTTTGGATGGAAGTTGTGTCTTGCAGGAGAATGCTGGTCATAAGATGTTGTATGGGGAGACAAGCCACGGGCCTTCGGTGTGGATGCCGCAGAGTCCTCTGTCTTCCCTCTTCCCGTGCCTGGGAACACGGGCCCCAGCGTCCAGCTCGCAGCGAGAAACCAGCCTGCCACGGACACCTCTGCCCCTCGTGCTCTGCTCCCTCATCACCTGCTCCTTCTCATCAACAATATCCTGGTGCTGAGTGAGTGGCACTCAGAGACTCCAGCATCAGTGATTTTGTTGAAGAGGGTGAGCTCTGCCATCTTCTGATGAAGGACCCTCCTTTAGGGACAGGAGGAGAAAAAGCAATCATAGCTGACACGGGACACTGAGATGGGAGTCACTAGTAGATGGATAAGCTGCAAATTAGGGAGCACTCATTTCGTTTTTTCCTCTGGAGCTCTCTTGTCAGTCTTCGGCAACACTCTCTTCCGTCTATCTTATGTGAATAATAAAATTGCCCCTGCATGGTTGCAGTGAGGATTACTGCAAGACAGGTGTGTGTGTAGCCCTTCATTTTGAGGTATTGCCTGCCTTTGCAATGGGAAGCATGTCTTTGGGTTCTGTGTCTTGCTTCATTGCTCAGGGGAGGAGAAAGCAGCCACAGTGGATCGGTGGGTGGGTGTTGCGGTCAGCGGCCACCTCACTGTGCCCGCTGGTGGGACGGGTGGGTCCAGGCCTGGGGCAGGAGGAGCTGAGGATTATCTTGAGTACAGGGGATCTCACGCCCCAGGGACAGAAACCGTGCCAGGGTCGAGGTTCAGGCCTCTGCACATTCTTGAAAGGGTGTTTAATTACGTAGCTGTCAAACTTAAACGTATGAAAATACAGAAATAGGTGTACAGCCTGACACTTGCCTGGAAAATATACCAGCCCAATTGAATGAAAGCTGTAAAAGAAGGGTGAGCAACTTGTGGCATTCCATAAGTTGTTGGATTGCACCTACCATCATCCTTTGCCATTGGCTATACTGAGTAGGGCTGATGGGAGCCACAGTCCAATACATCTGGCGGGCCAGACATTGTCCACCCTTGCAGTAAACCTTCCGAGGGGCTTTCAGACATCTCAAAGGAACAGTTGAAGGACCTGATTCCCTTTGCCATCTGTGCCCTCATCCATCGGAGTGGGTGAGATTCAACTTGGGTGTGTCCAGAGGAGGAGCCATCATGCAGGCGGGGTTCAAATATCATGTTACATTCACATTTTCTCAATCTTCTTTTCTCCTGCTACATAAAATCAAAGAAGGGAGGAATTTTGATCATTAGTGCCATGAGCGCTCCTTCTGGAACCACCTCTTGAGGAGGGGAGTTGATTTAGCAGGTGGTTTGGAGGGCTCTCTCCGAAATAGTGCTACAAGCATCTTGCTCCTTGGTGGAAAATTATGCTGCCTGCATCACTATTCAGGCAGTATCTTTAGTCTCAGCAGTGTGATAAGGAAGAAAGGCCCAGCAGGACTCTTCCATTTTCCTGGAAGCCCTCTCTTTCTAACTATTCTCCCTTTTTTCTCATGGAAGAGGGAAAAGGCAGTGCAGATGGAGAAAGGAATCAAGGGTACAAGCAGGATTGAGGTGGACTTTGCTCACTGTACTTGCCTTGATTCAGCTCAAGGGAATTTGGACTGGCTTTGATTGAGGCTTGTTTTGAAATTCTTACACCCAGGAAAGAGCTGTAGTATTAAGGATTTTAGGGCATTAATGTTTTCAAACATATCTGTGCAAAAGTGAGTACTTAAAAACCCCTAGGCAGAAGCTGAGATTCCCAAGTTTTCAGATTCCATGCTATATAGTGCTTCTAGAAATTATGCCCTACATAAAAAAGATCGCTCTTGCCACCCTTTCATTGGAAGGATGAATTCCACCAGGACTGGTATCTCCTGCCATTGCCTTGCCATGTTAGCAGAAGATGTACTTGGAAAAATTCTACTTTCCATGCAATTTTTAAGGGTCCCAGAGTGTTCTCAGTGTCTAGCCTCGGCAACCTTTGGTGGTTAGCTGTGTCTTGGTACAAACTAGATAAAAGTGCTTCAGGTCTCAGTAATACAGTTCTGTAGGGACTTTCCATGAAAGTCCAGAAAGCAGAAGAGGGTGGGATTGACCCTTGAACAACCAGAAGTGGCAATGTGTGTGGCTGCTAACTTGAACACCGCCTCTCTCTGTGGGCTTGATTTTTTTATACATTCAGTGGCTAGCGAGGTATTCATTGTTGGTAAGCCAAGTTGGTCGTGTTTTCATAAGCAAACCTAAGGAGGGTGGATATGGGTTTGTGTCTCAGCACATCTGATCATCAGCCCTTCCCACCCCCCAGTCCAATGTTTCTGCTGCTGACCTGATTTGGGTCACAATGCTTGAACTCCCTGGCCGGTCCAGCGCTTCCTGCCTTCCGTTGTGTCATTTCAGCTGGGTGTTTCTTTTGTCTAGTGACCTGGCGCTGCGGAACTGCTTACTCACAGCTGACCTGACTGTCAAAATCGGCGACTACGGCCTTTCTCACTGCAAATACAAAGTAAGTCTGCTTTGGGGTAGGGAGATGGGCAGGAACCGCTCAATTTGGGCAGGGGTTGTGCACAGAGCTTGTGAGGCTGACAGGGAGAGCAGCCATCTTAGGGTGAGAGAATGGCTTGGCTCTGAGGACAAGTGTCTAAGAGGGGAGGAGGCAGAAGGGGAAAGTGGAAAAGGACAGGTGCATGAACAGGGCCCTGTGAACATGCGTGCATAAGGTGGGCAGTGTGGGGGCTACCATTTTCCTCAACAGTAGAACAATGTACCCATGGCCCAGTGCTGGGGGGTGATAAGGGTAGGAGTAATGGGGGCACTGGCTTAGGGCATCCAGTCATATTTTCCATCTGCAAAGGTTTCTGAACGCTTTCATTGTTGGCACCAAGCAGGGTTGGAACAGGAATGGGGCTGAGGGGGTGAGCTACCTCTGCTTGACGGCAGTTCCTGTCGGTGCTGGTTTGATGTGGTCTCGCTTTGGCCCTGCATGCCTGGCAGGATGACTACTTTGTGACGGCTGACCAGCTTTGGGTACCATTGCGCTGGGTGGCACCTGAACTCATCGATGAGGTGCACGGCAACCTGCTGATCGTCGACCAGACCAAGACCAGCAATATCTGGTGAGAAAACACAGGGCTGGTGCGGCCCTACTGATGGAATGGTGGCCATGTTTATGGTTCACATGGCAACGAGAGGAGAGGAGAGGCCCTCAGAATCCCACACAACCTTGGCAACAACCAGTAGGCCAAGGCCTAAACGGATGGGATGGATGGCGGCAGGAGACCTATCTGTAACTTTCACTCGTGCTTTTCTGAATAAGGTGAACAGGAGTATATAACAATTTACCAGTCCCCTGTTCTCCAGGTTTTACTTCCAAACCCAGGTGCCTGTGGGAGCTCTCTGGCCCAGGCTACTTCCATTCAAAATTTGCTGTATGACAGCCTTCTTCAATCTGGTGTCCTCCAGATGCTTTAGACTTCAACTCCCATCTGCCTCAGCCAGCATGGCCAGTGGTCAGGAATGCCTGGAGCCTGAAGCACAAACCTTCTGGAGGACACTGGGTTGGGCAAGGCTGTGTTACAACAACAAGTCCAGTTTTCCCAAGCAGAGGAACCAGGCCTGTTGCCCCAGAATGTGGCCTGCAAAACAGCTAATTCCAGTGCAACAAGGCCAGTGGATATTCTGGCCTCCTGGTTAGATCAAAGGGACACATTCTACATGAGGCTGCTCCTGGATATCACTGGCCCAGAACGCAGTGCCCAGACTGATTTCTGGGAGCTTCTATCTCCAGTCTTCCCAGCTGCAACCCAAGCTCTGAGGCTTACCTTTGAAGCCCTTTATCGTCTGGGCGTGGGGCTGTTAAAAAGCATCTTCTCCCAAATGTGTGTCCCCACTCTTTTAAGATCTTGTCTTCTGACCAGTGGACTATGTGGAGGCGGTGGCAGCCACAGAGTGGGACTTTTTGGTGGGCCTCCAAAATTTGAGTGTCCCCCCCAAATTAGGGAACCAATGGCCTACTGAGCAGGTCTGCCAGATATAAGATTTTGGTGCTTGTAATTGTTTAGAGATTTTATAATAGGCAGTATAGAAGTATTATTTATAAATACATTGATAATCCTGTCTAAATGCATTTTATTTATAATCCTTGCATTTATAGTTTTGGGGTCCCCCCCGCTTAGTCTCCCTTTAAACCTATATAGGGTTTTTGTTTGCTTTACTGTAAATTGAGTTTAGCCTATTGAGGATTGCTCACTAGAAGGATAAAAGATTCTTCTAGAGAAAGTTTTTATCAGGAAATTGTCCTGCCTCATTCATGGAAATTTGCAGAGGATCTGGATTATCCAAGTGTTTATTTGCTTATAACCCTAGGACATTACAAACAGGATCCAGATTATGATGCCTTCCACTAGTAATCTTCTCATATTTTCCCACTGCTTCTTCCGTCACTTTTCTTTCCACAAATAAGATCCCATAAGGAAGAAAAGCAAAATAGCTACATGGCTGGTAGTGCTAGAATCCTTCCACCTGGAAGCACCCGCATTTTCTAACTGGATGAAAGCGTGTCTGTGCCAGCTCCCAGGGGCTTGGGCGCGTGGGGTCCAGCCTTCGCGGGCGGTGCTGTGCTCTGCTGCTCTGTCCATTTAGGCCTTCTCTTCCTTGGCAGGTCGTTGGGCGTGACCATCTGGGAGCTCTTTGAGCTGGGTGGCCAGCCCTATTGTCATTACTCAGACCGGCAGGTGCTCACCTACGCCATCAAGGAGCAGCAACTTAAGCTTCCCAAGCCGCAACTCCCGCTCTCTCTGTCTGACCGCTGGTGAGTGAAGGTGTGGAGAAGGGGGCCTTCCAGGGGGGCACGGTTTCCCCAAGGGGTGGAGAAGGATGGCAGGCACGTGAGGATAAGCCTGATGGAGACAGGCCTTGAGGACCAGTGGGGTGGGCAGGGGTAGGCAGCCTTCCTCATTGCCTGGCCCCAGCTTTGCCTTCTGGACAGCAGTAGCGGGCAGCACATTAATTCACTCACACAAGCAAGTCGCAAGCTTGGGGAACGCGTTTGCCATGCCTGCCACCTTGTGAGAATGCCAGCCCCCTGGCTGGGAATGTCGGGGAGACGGCTAAGTGGACAGGGCAGCACCGCTGCACAGCCAGCACAGAAATGTGCTTAATCTAATAGGCGGAAAGTTCACTTAAGCGGAACCATCTCAGTACATTTCATTTATTTCTCCACGAGGCCTAGAGATGTTCTTAAGAATGAAAGCTGAGAGCGGGGCGGAAGCATCTCTGGCCATGCTTTGGTTGTAATCCTGCCGTAAGGGTTCAGAGGGTTAGCTCAGAGGGGAGCTCAGCGATGCGAATGGACCAGGTCCTTCTCATAGGCTGCCTTGATCCTACTCCCCATAGGATCACCATTAGGAGGTGCAGTTCTGCCCTCAAGGGCAACTACCTGGCTATCAGGTGGAGGGCACAGGCTGAGACAGAGATGAAACTCTGCATTTACAAAGCTGCTGCTTTTCTTTCTGTCTGCTTGGAACACACCTGGTTACAAAAGAAGGCCCACGTGTCCAAAGCAGACTTTCTTAAAAGGCTGCCTCCGGATGTTGTTAGACTTAAGCCCCATCAGCCTGAGCCACTGTAGCCAATGGTCAGGAATTCTGGGAATTGTAGTCCAAAGCATAGGGAGGAAGCTGTGCTGTTCTTTTTCTCTGCATGGGAACACACACACACACACACACACACACACTCCTAGCATTTAATAGTAGTACTTCCGCAGTACTTGGAAGATTAAGTGTCCAAAACAGCCTTCCCCAAACTGGTGCCCTCTGGATGTAGCTAGACTTCAACAACATGGCAGTTGCTCGGCAGATAAGTTTCACAGAGCAGTTTCCAATTGGCAAGCCCTTACTGGATCCACCATGTATACCTGGATGGCAATTATTAATGTCTAGGCTGTTCTGATTTCACCACCTCTTTTCTTTCAAAGAAGGGGTGCACAACCGTAAAGATAGTACTGGGCACCTCCTGGCGGGGGGGAGCATGCATGTGCATATAGAAGCCCATGGAGCTCCCCCCGACACACATTGTGCTTGTCTTATATTCATTCTTTGTTTTTTTGGCAGGGTGGGTTCTGTAAGCACATTTCCTTGGGAATAACCTGCCAGGAGTCGTTTTCCATGCCTGCCACAAACTAAACCTATGCACTCATACCTTTAGCACACCTTTAACTCTACCTTCTGCTAGGAAAAAAAGTACCTCTCTTGCCTTAGCTCTTGGAGCTAATGTTCAGGAATGCTGGGAATTGTAGTCCAAAGTGACTGGAAGGCACCAGGCTGGGAGAAGCAATTCCAGGGGGTGCTTTGTGTGGGGCTGCTGCGGTGGACTTGCAGAGGGCTGCCTTCAGCACGTGGAACTGGGTTAGCGATGAGGGCTGTGGGGACAGCTGGAGTGGGAGCCCCTCTGCTTCAGTTTCGGGAGCCGTGGGCAGCAGCCTAACCCCTGCCCTGTTCTCTCCTCCCAGGTATGAGGTGATGCAGTTCTGTTGGTTGCAGCCAGAGCAGCGCCCCACCGCGGAGGAGGTGCACCTGCTGCTCTCGTACCTGTGTGCCAAGGGAGCCTCGGAGGCGGAGGAGGATTTTGAGCGGCGCTGGAATTCCATGAAGCCCGGAGGGGGCGGTGGCTCTGGCTCCGGCCACCTGGGCGTGGAGCTGTCGTCCTTCCCCCTCCTGGAGCATTTCTCCGGTGATGGGGATGATGTCCTGACTGTCATGGAGACAAGCCACGGCCTCAACTTTGAGTATAAGTGGGACCAGGGCAAAGCCGAACATCTGCCCACCTCGGCCGTGAGCCCCCGCGGTGCGGCACGCTACCACGAGCTCTACTACGCGGCCAGCAGCGGCGGCGGAGGGGGTGCTGGGAACCCCCTCAGCCTCGGGGTCTCGCCCTCCTGCTACGAGTGCAAAGTGCAAGGCTGCCCCGGCTTGCACACGCCGGGCGTACTGCCTGTGCTGAGTGCGCACAGTCCCTCCCTGAACAGTGAGTACTACATCCGCATCGAGGAGGCGGCCTCCGAGGGCAGCGGGACGGACCTCGATTACACCATGTGCTCCTACAGCCCAGAGTTTGGCCATTCCTCCCGCTGGCAGAGCACGGAGGGCCGCTACGCCCCGAGCCACAGCCCCACTGCCTCGCTCACCATGGAGCCCCTCCTGGGCCACTCGGCCCACGGGGACAGCCACTGGGAGCCCCCTGAGTATTACTCCTATGGAGGACAAGGGGACAAGGAGGCCCCGTACTACGACGAGGCCTCCCCGAAGAACCATGCCGAGAACTACCTGCTCAAGGAGTCCAGTGCCTTGGAATGGCCTGTTCTGACTGTGCAGAAAAGCATCTTTGCTGACCCGCTGGGGGTGTCGCCATCAGTGACCTACAGCTACAGGGAGGCCAGGTCAGACTCGGTCACTCTGGAAATGGAGGAGGAGGAAGAGGAGGAGGAGGAGGAAGAGAACACGTGCAATAGCCCTAGGAACGGAGGGGCTCAGAATGAGGAATCCCCTTCCTCCAGCAAGCAGTGGACATCCAATACCTCGGCCAATAACAACAGTGGCCACCTGCTGCCACCCTGCGAGCCGCCTGCCAATGATAGCTGGTGCTACCGGCACATGATCACCTTCCAGGGACTCATGGCAGAGCCACTGTCCTCAGTGCCATGGGACGAGCCGACACTCGGGATCAAGGACCTGCGAGCAGCCCTGCTGGGTGGGGAACGTGTGGCGTCGCCTCGCACAAGCTCTCTGAGTCCAGATGCTGACTTACCTGCGGAGGAAAAATCACCAGCTGAGAATGCTGGTACAGAGGCCAGCTTAGGGGACACCGCGGCTCCCTTGACGGAGAGTGGGGAGGAGAGCCACCAGGCCATCGCCTTGCCCCTGGGGGAGACGGATTCGGTGACGTTGGCGGCATCCGTGCCAGAACCTGCTGACTGCGTGGAGGCTGATGACGCAACCTGGCCAGTTGAGCTCATGGCTGAGAGGGCTGGAGCAGGGGAGGACCCTGTCCTTGTGGAAGAGGTGGTGGCTGAATGCTCACCTCAGGTGCCACTGGAAAGCAATACAGAAAGGGGCAAGAGCACCAGCAGTGAACAGGACAGGACCCCCGACAAGACCGTGTCCAGTGCCAGCTTCCCGGACCTGGACGAGGCCAGTGATGAGGATACAGCTGAACTGACCTCAGGAGTCTTTAGTGACTTCCAGGCTGAGGGTACTGAGCGGCAGGATATACTTCCCACCTTCAAGTCTTTGCAGAAGCAGGTGGGGACCCCCGACTCCCTGGAGTCTTTGGATATCCCCTCAACCACGAGCTCCTGCGAGGCATTCAGCCCCACAGCCTACATCCCCTCGAGTCAGCCCAAGGCCTTGGACAGTGGCTATGACACAGAGAACTACGAGTCCCCTGAATTCGTCCTCAAGGAGCCTCACGAGCCCCGAGAGCCCGAAGCCTTTGCCCAGCTAGGCAAGGCTCAGGAGGACAGGGAGGACCAGGCCAAGGAGCTGAGCCGCTCTGATTCGTTCAGCGCTGACCTGCAGGGCCTGGATGAGAAGAACCCTTACCGGGACTCTGCCTACTTCTCCGACTATGATGCCGAGGGGGGGGCACGGGAGGATGGGGAAGGGGATAGTGATGGTTCAGAGGGGCCTGAGGGGCCTCCGGCCTCCCAGGCAGACGCTGAAGGCTTGGGGAGGGCCTCTGGCCCAGACGGCAGTGTGGGGGAGTCTGTGCCTGCCTGTGTGGGGCCCTCTTGCCCGCTGGGAGACAGCACAGGGTGCCCCTCTGCAGCGACTGAGGAACAGGACATGAGGGAAGGCACCAGTGTCAGCTCCTCCCAAGAGCTGTTGGCGAATGGCGTTGCTGCCGAGGAGCTGGACACGAGCACCTCCCGCTGTGAGGGCGATGGGACTGTGGCAGTGCCTCAGACTCCAGGCCCCCCTACCAGATCCTTCTTACTATCCCCAGTGGCTGCCAGTGTCGAGGAGCCCCCTGCCACCAGTGGGGGAGCTGTAGGGGCAGGAAACGAAGGGCTGGAGGCCGCAGCAAGGGAGGCAGAGCAGCGTGGGGCAGCCCAGGGCCTCGGCTGTCCGGAGGAGCCCCAGAGCAGCCCTGGCCTCCTGCTGGACCTGTCAGTGGTGCCATCCCGGCACTCGGCTGTCCCCACAGATCTGGAAGAAGAGGAAGAAGACACCGAGGACAGCGATGAGTCTGATGAGGAGCTGCGATGTTACAACATCCAGGACCAGAGTGAGGAGAGTGAGGAGGAGTCGCCCACTGTCCCCATCGTGGTGGCCGAGAGCAACAGCACTCGCAACCTGCGCAGTCTGCTCAAGATGCCCAGTCTGTTGGTGGAGACCTTCTGCGATGACCTGGAACGCAAAAAGAAAGCCGTCTCCTTCACCGAAGATGTTACTGTCTACCTCTTTGACCAGGTGACTTGTTTGGAGAGGGACTGGGGAGTGAGGAAAGAGGGCCCGTGGGCCAGAAAAGTCTCCAGGTAACATAGAGTGGGCCCTGTGGTTCAAAAGAAAGCAACCCTTCTGCAACCCCGTAAACATTTGGTGTCATCTGCTGGCCTCTTAATTGTAGTGCATGATGACCTATTTTGTAGGTATCTCCTAATATTGGCTGTAACTGCATGCCCAGACAGTTGAAATAGTAAAATAGGCATGCTAATCTTTAAGCTTAATTTAGAGTTGAACTTCTGATAAAGCAAAAGCCCAGATCTAAGCTTGCTATGGGAGCAACACGGATATTTTGCACCCTTTTGGCCAGAAGTGACAGGGTCTGTGGGCCGACGGTTCCAGGCAAACAAGAGGACGTAGTGCTGGCTGGCAGGAAGAGTGGGCAGCAAAGGGCCCACAGCATGTAATGATTTCCATCATGTCTCCTGACACAGGAAAGCCCCACGAAGGAACTTGCAGAGCAGCCTTTCCCAGGAGCGACAGACCCTCCCCTGGCATCACCTGTGCAGAAGGGCAGCAATGGCTCCCCAAGCCCCACTGGCAGGACGGAGACACTCGTTGGCTCCTCGGCAGGGAGTGCCTCTGGAGAGAGCAAGGGTAGGCCTCCGACGAGGAACTGAGCAGGGCCGGGGGAGGGGGTCCCGTTCCTCCTCCATCGCAGCATCAGTGTGGACCATCCTCTTGAACTCAGTCCATCCTGTCTTGCTCCTTGCTAGAATATCCCACTCCCGCTGTGCCAAGGGTAGCTGAAAGCATAATGGGTGAGGCACACGCCATGAAGCCTGTTAGCCAGCTCCCTCATTCAGAAAGGGTGCATTTCTTTCCCCACCCCAAGTCTCTTCGGCTTTATGGATCCATTATGAATGTGGGAACGGGAAACACCTTTTCCTGATCTCACGACCCACGGTTTGCCCCCTGCCACTGGATTCACAGTGCGTGGGCAGGAGTTTCCATCTTCTACGCTTGGCTCCCACGAGCTGCGTTCTTGAAGCTTCTGTGGCCTCAAGGGTGTACATCACCCAGCAAGACCTTTTGGGTTGTAGGAGTGGCGTTGGCATGGGGCTAGCCCTTCAATCTCCCCCGTGTCTCTTCTTTGTCTCTCCAGGGGGTGGATTCGATTGGAAAGATGACTTTGCGCTCATGCCAGTGAAATCCTCAGTCATGGCATCTCTGGCCCCGGTGGCACCCGAGCCCGCCCTGCCCAGACTGCCATCCACACTAGTGCCAGCTCAGAAGCAGGTGCTGCCCATCCAGTTTTCACGCTTCACGGTCTCACCTGCGCCAGGGTCACGGTTCTCCATCACACACGTCACCAGCCCCGAAGTCAAGTCTGTAGGAGGTAAGCTGCACCCAGAGGGAGCTCGGAGCGTTCTGCCCCTGAGCAAGATGTGCATGGGGAAATGCCTATCAGGCCACATGCCCTGGTGTAGACGCCGCAGGATCTGAACCAGGGCAAAGGAACCACTGGGTGGGAATTGGAGGACAGCTCTGAGTTCTGTGAGTGCCTTTAGCCTATGATACTTTAGCACATCCCTTTTTTAAAAAATAAAGATGAGTTCTGCTGTGGCCATGTCTATGTGGAATTATTCCAGTTTACCAAAGGCACTTAAGAAAGACTTCTCCGGTATATGCAACGACTGAATAAGTGGAAATACCAGCAATGAGAATTCCTCTATAAGGAGAATAATATAGGCATAATTTAGAAGGGGAGAAACATCAGGGGCCTTTGCTTGCCCCTTCAGAGGTTCCTTTGCCCACTGATGAGTGCAGCATCTCGCTCTGTAGGAAGTGGAGCCAAGTCCAGTCCTGGCATGCACACAGATGATTTTACTGAATTGATCCATGGAGGCTGGGAGGGAAAATGTGACCTCCTCTTTTAAAACATGTGTCCTCCTCTTTTAAAACAAGAGGACGAATGGCAGGCCGGCCTGCGGAGAAACTCCTGAGGCGTGTGGACACAGCCAGCCAGGAGGCCCCGCTGTTCCACCCCGCGCTCCTGCTCAAGTCAGGGACCCAGCCAGGAAGACATGAAAAGCAGTTCTGCGAATTGCAATTCAAGGGTTTGTTGGTCCTGCTGCAGAAAGTGATTATCAGTCATTCCTTACTGTTTCAGCTGTGTAAATCAAAAGGTCACACATTCCTTCTTGTATAAAAAGGCCAGTGTTTGTGCAAGCTGCTTCAGCAGTTTCACAGAATGTGAATGTTTAAGATGTCTCCTGAAGAAGGAGGACTGTGTTCCAAAACTCTTTGAATTGCAATAAATCAAGAAGGGGTGTGCGTATGGGGGGGGCATCTTACTTCCCCCTTCCTCTCCTATTGGAAGCCATGTGGAAAACCTTGCTATAAGTTGATGTAGTTTCTGGCTCTGTTTGGTAGCATGACAGAGGAACAAGAGGGCCCAGATCCTGCCTCCACACCCCCGTTTTCATCTCCACCACTAGCAGAGCACCCCTGACGGGATATGCTGCAGTCCACAACTAATTGGTTGCCTGTAGCAGAGGACCCCACGCTATGCACAGCGTTGGAGTACAGCTGGAGTCTGTAGCCAACATGTGATGAGAAGGCCTGGTAGGCAAGACGCTGGAGCCCAGGCAGTGGCTGAGATGGGAGCCCTTGACCCAGCCCGCTCTGTCCGAGGCAGCTGAAGAGAAACCTGCAGCATATCCTTGTTCTCACCTGTGGAAAACAGCCCTGTGGAGTCGGTGGGAGTTACTTCCGGGGGCCATCCTGCTTGCTAACTCCGTGTTTTCCTTTTTTCTAGGCAGCAGTGAAAATGGCGACAGGGAGTGAGCTTGGCCACGTGTTCCCTCTTGGACTTCCCATCCTGCCCACTACAGCTTTGGTTTCTGCACCGGGGCAAAAGAGTAAGGATCGAGGCCCAGAACTTGGGTGGAGCAGAAGAACTCTGTGGGGCCTCACTCTATTTTTTTAAGAGGCAGATTTTATTGGACAGATCGTGGCTGCTGCTAAGCTGGAATCTCCCCACCGCGAAGCAGTTCATGCTGAGCGCCTGGATGAGTGTGTGTGCGTGTGTGTTTGCGTGCGCGTGCACGCTCCTATGTGTGTACAGATAGACATATAGAACCTATAGCATCTAAAGGGTAGATCTGTGACCTCGCTAACATTGCTGCCCCTTCACTTAATCCAATTTGAAACCCCTGTCCCTAGTTCCTGCCTCTTGCTGTTTTGACCCACGTTGGCTTCCTACGTTCGGGACCTACCTTGAGATGCCACCTCCTGCCTGTCCTGTACACGTGTCGTGTGTTCTTTCCAGAGCTGGCGTAGGATGGCGGGAGAGCTTCCAGCTTTGCACCTTGTGCCATTCAGGCATGTTTCACTTGGGCCCCCAAGCACTGGTCCTTGTCTTTCACACAGCGGCTGCAAGCGTTCCTTGATCTGCGTTCAGCGTGCCACGTCAGGAGACCACCGATAAGGGAAAGGCAGCAGAGCGGGAGAGTAGGGGAGGACGGGTGTGCAGGGGGCCAGCCAAGGTTAGGGCGATGTGTAATTTGGGGAGCTGGCACAGGCTGTCAGTAGCAGCCCCCGCTCTTTGGTCACCCTTGCCAGCTGCTTGGCTGCACCGCCACTGGGGCATGTCCAGTGTACAATTTGCCTGCCCCTTTGTGGGCCTAGAACCCTCCCCCCATCTTCTCGTTCCTCTGCTTCAGCAAATGCCTCTCTCTCCAAGATGTGTGGCTTCAGCCTGAGTGGCACAGGGGCTTAAGAGCCTTGGGCATGTCCCTTCTCCATCGTAGCCCAGGAGAAAGTGACATTGCCCAAGCTTGCCTTTCAGGAGGTGGCACAGGCAGGAAGAAAAGAGGAAGAGCAGGAAGAGGCAATGCCGTTGTTGACATGCCTTGCTAGCTCGGATGGATGGGACTGTGAGGTGCGGAGGCCAGCCTGCTTTCTCCTTCAGCTCCTCCCTCCCCCCCGCCCGCCCTCCCTCTCATCTTCTCCCTTCCATAGTATTATTTAGGTGGAGCCTTTCCTGAGGGCGAAGATGCGTACCACGGGTAGGTGGCAGGTGGAATTGTGTCCGCCTGCCGAGCCTGGTGGTCTGGGGAGACCGCTTCCCGTCACAACTCCTGGAGACATTTGCGTGCAGGGGAATGTGATAAGATGTGTAGCAAGAGCAGGTCAAACTGCCACTGGGACTATTTTTGTATAAAATGTACTCACCGTTAGATCACCTACCCTAACAGAGTGGCTGATTTAATTTATTGCCAAAGAGATGTAAAGAGATGTTAACTTTTATCCAGACGTCTTTTGGGGGTGGGTGGGGGGAGAGTAAGGAAGGGATGCAGGGGCATGTTTACTTTTTTTGGTTTTTACATTTTGATCCGTTTAAGGCTTAGGATAATTGTGCAATGTGAATTAGGAAGAAGGAAAGGGGTGAGTTGCACTTGGGTTGGGGCATGGGGGTTGTGGCCTTTTGGGGCTATAGACCAAACACAGGGTTTGGAAACTAAGGGGCAGGTGGCCAGATGCAAATGGCAGCTGCTAATTATTTGGCCATTTCCTTATCGGTTCAGAGGAAATCCGTAACAGCACTAGGCTAACAGCAGCAGAACATCTTTTGTTTGAATGTGCTTGCACTTCTGCGGCTGTTTTCTCTTGCCCCCTGTTGGTGCTTGATATGACTACAGGCAGCAGGTTTGGCACTGGGGCTGGTAACTCCCCCCGCCCCCAATTTGGTTCATAACCACGTAATGCACTTTTATTTAAACATCCCCCACCTATCATCTGAATGGGATGGTGCTCTCAGTTTCCAGTGGTGATGGTGGCATTAAGATTTCCCTTCCTTTTGTCTCCTCCCACCAATTTTAGCCAGTTGGAGATTTGTTTAGTACGTCTGCAATCCTATAAGCCTCAGTGGAACTTACTTCTGAGTAAATATGCTTAGAGTCATGCTGGTTGCTTTTGGTTTTTTAATTCTTCACGGCCTCAACAGCAGGCAGGATGCCAAGAAATTCTGGGATTTTGTGTGCTTTGGGTGGCTCTGCCTTTCCCTGCCATAGCCAGAACACGATTGCGTGCGTGAGATTCCTTGCTGGGAAGCTGAGCATTGTGCGATGCCCATGCAAGCTGCTGTCCTTCCTGAAAGTGCCACTGGACACGGAAAGGTAGCCATATGCTACCTTTGTTTGTTGGGGACGTTTGTACACCTAGTCGGTCTCCTTCCTATCCCAACATTTACTTTGTTGCTGCTGCGGACTCTGAACACGAAGGGTAGCACTGCCCTTCCCTGCATTTGCTTACTGCCTAGCTATGCACTTCCCGCCATGGCGAGCAGGCAGCAATGCTCTTGCCTGGGTTTTGAACCCCCACAAAGGTAATAGGAATAGGTCCTCTTGCAGCAACCCCAAACTTGTTCCTTAGGCTTGCTCTTTTTTTCTGGTTGAGTTTCCAGAGGCTGTGGCATCCACAGCCAAGTATTTGAAGTTGGATCCTGCCAGCTGACAAGCAGTGACACCACCCACACGTCAGGCCAGCGTGCTGCTGAAAATGGAAGGGCCAAGGAAAGAGTCGTGGGTAAGAGGAGCGGCCAGAAATGTTTGTGCCTGGATATATAACTGAACACGAGCAGTGGTTCTCACCAGGGAGAATTATAAAGACCACAACAGGTTTTCTTTCCTGACAAGTTGCATTTGGCTGCTGTAGCTGATTCCTCAATCAGTTGTTTCTGTCACACCAGCCCATGCCTTCAGCCAGGAACCAGGGAAGCTGGCATGCAAAGGGAACTTCTGCCGGTTTATTCTTTTACTCCTCGTGTTTTGCCAAACAGCATCAGAAATTATTACAGCAGCCACATCCAGGTGCCAGCACTCTCTCATCTAGCTTTAAAACAGCCACACTCAATGGATTTGTGAAGGAAATGCCACGTGAGCCCCAGCTGCTTCCACACCAGGATGCTGCTGTTCCCAGCATGTAGTATGTAGTGAGATCAGTTTACTTCAGGTGCGATCCTGCCTGACACGAGTACAAGGGGAACGGCTGGAGGAACCCTCACGGCACAGAGGCTGAGGGCAATGGCCTTTTCCCCCTCCTCAGCGCCCCAGAGCACACTGGGCACTACCCGGAATGCAAGGCTGGTGCCCTGCCGAACCCTGCCTCTCCAGCCCAGTCAGTGCTGCCCTGGAATGCATTTGCTTGTGCAAAGGCTTCACCCTGCGTTGGAGAGAGGGCTTAAGGGAGACAGGAATAGCCTTGGTTTCCTCTTCAGGTAACAGGTGATGCTTTGCGGTAATGCTCTTCAGCAGAGGAGGAGGATGGAGGAAGGAAGTTGCTGTTCACACATACAGCTGTGCAGGAGGGAGCCTGCCCTTAATAATCATCACTCATTGGGGTCTGTACCTAAGGCAACTGGGAGCCATGCTGCACTCACTCAGGTACCGGTCTCTGTGTAGGGGAGTGGGCCCTTCTCCTTCTGGTCAATCGCTAGATGGATGGCTCCCAGGTTATCTTCTGTGAACAGCCCTGCCACAGCTCCCAGCATCAGCAAGAAGAAAGCAACTCATTGCCACTGTGTCGGAGGCCCAAAAGCATCGCCCATTGTCACTTTGGCTTTGTTTGTTTGTGGCTCGGGGGGGGGGGGGGGGCTCCACACTGCAGGGCTCCCAGCACTACCAGCCAGAAGATATTGTGAAGACATTTTATCATTTTCCCCCTTGAGCTGGAAGCACCTCACATCTTCAGAGCTGCAGCCACTGCAGCTGTCCATACTGGGGAGCATCTGTTTTCTTGCATGGTCAGCCAGTTTGATTGCTAAACGGCATAGTCCCCGTTCCAGGCAGAACATCTTGGCTGTGGTACTGCTCACTGTTCTTCTGTGGCATTGTAACATGAAGCTGCTTACAAGGGCAGTGTAGGGGTCTTTTGCAATTGGATTAGCAATCTGGTGCTGGACCCTATAGAGGAGCAGGGAAGTTTGCAAAGGTTTCCCCCACCCTGGCCATCTTCTGCAGGCAGCATTCAGAGCCAAACTTTAAAAGGGCTGTTCTGGGTGGCAGAATAAAAGTTGGATCCAATCCAAGGTACTTACTGTTCTTAGTGCACTCACTTTTACCAGATATCTACATGACATTGTAATCAAATTGCTCTTCCTCTTTTCCTCTGCGCTTCCTCTATTCAGTTTTCTGGAAGGAACAGAACAGCAGCAGTGCAACCTCTGCAGGTGCAGGGCTCTTTAGCAATACTCTTGCCTTTTTCATTTTAAAGAGAGGTGGTTCTGATGTGTGCAGTGACATTTTCGGCAGTTTAATTCTATTGCCACAGCTTTTTACTCTGGTACACTAGATTGTTGCCTTTCTGGCATGATGACATTTTTAGCAGTTTTTTTAAAAATAAGGTATACTGAATACTTTCCTGCCTGCATTTAAAATGTGAGCAATAGAACTTAAATGAAAATACATTTTGGTCCACATTTAAAAATGGTTTATTTTTAAATCGCTTGGTTAAATCCATGTTTTTGTTGCACCTGCTAGTGTGGAAGGAACCTAACAGAATATGCAGATGCACCTGCCATGCGATCGTACCCAGTGTGGGAAGCCTGTTGCATTTTTGCAGGATAACCGATTGGCAGGAAATGCCTGCAGTCTGGAAGCACCGTAACACTGGGACACTTGTCCAGGGTATGCCTGCTTCCAGGGAAGGCTACAGTTCTATACATGGAGTAATTCCTATTGAACTCTGTGGGCCTTACTTCTGAGTAGACACCAGAGTAGTGTGCTGCAGGAGCCATTCTTAATGGATTGTCTTGGCATCAGGAATAACCAGCATTTAGTTAAAAC